GTTGTTGAGCTCGTTGAGGAAGGAGACATCAGAGGATGCGGGGGAGGGTTTGGTGGTCCTGTAGTCTGTAATGGTCTGGAGTCCTTGCCACATGCGGTTGGAGTTGGAGAAGTGTTCTTCTACCTTCTTTTCGTAGTGGTGTTTGGCTTTTTTGATGCCCTTCTTTAGATTAGCCCTGGCTGTACTGCAGGCGTGTGCATCTCGTGACCTAAAGGCGGTGTTGCGGGCCTTCAGGAGGAGACGAACATCCCGGTTCATCCAAGGCTTCTGGTTGGGGTACATGGTGATCCGTTTCTGGGTGGTGACACTGTCTGTGGTTTCGGAGATGTAATCCAGTACAGATGAGGCGTACTGGTCCAGGTCTGTGTGGGTGAACATATTCCAGTCTGTGTTTTTAAATCTGTCCTGGAGCACTGCGTCTGTCCCCTCTGGCCACAATTTAATTGTCCTCACAGCAGGTTTCACACGTTGGATGAGTGGTGAATACCAAGGTGTGAGGAACAGGGAGAGATGGTCCGATTGTCCAATGTGGGAGGGGTGTTGCTTTGTAAGCTTCAGCCAAGTTGGAATAAACATGGTTTAAAGTCTTGTCTCGTCTGGTGTGGCAGGAGACATGTTGGTGGAATCTGGGGAGGACTGTCTTTAAGTTGGTGTGGTTGAAGTCACCAGCAACAATAAAAGCAGCCTCGGGGTGTTTATTCTGGTGTTTGTTAATGGCTGCAGAAAGTTCTTTCATGGCCAACCTAGCATTAGCGTCAGGGGGGATATACACTGCAGTGACTATGATAGAAGTGAGTTCTCTGGGGAGATAATAAGGTCCGCATTTGACCATTAAAAACTCCGCATTAGGTGAGCAGTGACTCTCAGTAGTAGTGGAGTTCATGCACCAAGCGTATGTTAAAATGCACAAACCTCCACCTCTGGTCTAGCGGGAGTCATCTGCTAGCCTGTCGGCTCGGTGTGTGTGTTAAAGCTCGGGTGTGAAATTTATGGTTTTCAGGGTTTTTATCATTATTTTTTTAATGTTTTTTATCGTTAACTCGGGGTTCCTGGATCTTTTCCCGAGTGTTATAAATAAATCTTCTTTTTTGGTACTGGTTTTATTTTGTTGTACTTATACGCAACACCTTAAAGGCTGGTCCGTGAAAATATTGTCGGACATAAACCAGTGGCACAAAAAATATTTTCTGTCTCTGTCTGTCCTAGCTCTCTCTTTCTTCCCCAAACACCCTCCTTTATCAAAAAAAACAAAACAAAAGATAAAAACATATTGCAAACAAGATTTGTCCTGCAGATTAATCTCATGGGAATCGACTGGAAAACGATATATGCACATGTGTTTAGCTGACAGGTAACATCATAAATATTTAACAAATAAACTTCACTACTACTACTACTAGATACTTTAGGCAACAGTGGAAACCACGACGCTGCCCCCGTACAATATTACTCAGCAAAGGCCACAAAGTGAAATAGAGACAGATCAGCTGACCTCAGCTCGGCACAGCCCTGAACTGGACAATAAGAAAACAGGTGGATGTTATTGTTTCCTGCCTGACACAGTCTGAGTGATGTTTGAAATATTTTCCCCCAATGTTAAATGATTACTCTCAGATGTTTGCTACTGTCACAAATATCGCCCGTGTGTGTGTGTGTGCGCCAACCTTGACGCTCTCTGGACTGGCCTGCGTCGGGCAGCCGAACAGTTCCCGTCTCAGCAGGTTTCCATCATACTCCAAGAAGGTCAGGTAGAGGTTCCTGAAGAACTCCACATGTTTGTTTTTGACGCGGAGCTTCTTAGGAGAGTTCCAGTGGATCACCTGAAACCATAACAAATGGTAAATGGCCTGTATTTGTATAGCGCTTTTCTAGTCCTTAAGGACCCCAAAGCGCTTTACACATCCAGTCATCCACCCATTCACACACACATTCACACACTGGTGATGGCAGCTACATTGTAGCCACAGCCACCCTGAGGCGCGCTGACAGAGGCGAGGCTGCCGGACACTGGCGCCACTGGACCCTCTGACCACCACCAGTAGGCAACGGGTGAAGTGTCTTGCCCAAGGACACAACGACCGAGACTGTCCAAGCTGAGGCTCGAACCGGCAACCTTCCGATTACAAGGCGAACTCCCAACTCTTGAGCCACGATTGCAAGTTTCTGCTACTCAGCCTGACGGCAGCCTGTGGCAGCAAACAACAAACCTGATGGTGCAAGCTGGCGTACCTTGAGGTCAGACACCTCGGTGTAACACTGCTCGGAGCGCGTGTGATCAGACAGCTGAACGTTCCAGAAGCAGGGAAGCTGGTGCACCAGGACTGGGTTCTGCTTTATGAAGGCGTTGAATATGTCCTGCACACAGACAACACACCGCTTTATCAAGAGCCTCGATCCTTTTAACACTAGGATTACTTTGTAGACATGCATAGATCAGAGCTGCTGATGTTTGTGATGATGTAAACAGGATCAAATTTGTGAAAGCATGACTCATCGTGGCCTCAGGGTCTCATTCTGCAGCCCTGCTCTCCAAGACATCAAAAAAAGCAAAAAAAGAGTCTTTAAAAAATTCAATAAAGTTTAACAAACACAAGACTGTAAAACACCAACAGCTCGTCAGTGCCAGGATGATGCCACTGATAAGCTGTATACGTGGGCGCCGAGGCGACGGAGTCACAATCAAAGGAGTCCTCACCCAGAATCAGTTACAGTGAAGGCCACAGACTGATGACGGTAACAGTGTGTAATGAGTTGACAATCCTGTTTGGAGGTATCCCTAACCTGATCAGCAAGTGATGTACTGAGCATGCTCATAAGTTCCCTCTCTGCCGTCAGTCTCCACATCTGCTCCCAACCGATTCGCCGCAGTCTCTCCAGGTACAGAAGAATGACGCCTGAAACCACGAAGCAGGACACTGGCTAACAATGTGACATTAACTTAAAAACGTTCACTTTGGGCTAAACGTTCACTCTTCAAACACTGAGGTTCTTTGTGCTGTTAGGAATGAGACGACATCAGGTTCTGTGCTGTTTGGAGCAAACCTGCCAGCTTCAGAGATTCGATCAAAAACCCGTTTACCTGTGTTGAAGCCTCTTCCCAGCGCAGGCCACGGTTTGTGGTTTTTCCATAAGTTGCCCAAGTACCAGTCACTCTGATTCTCCACCAGACCAATCACCTGCTTATCTGTGAGTGAAACAACCATCAGCTGAGGAGCAAACATTTCATTCTTCTTTTTCAACAAGTTTTTCTCCTCAACAGTTCACAAACATAATAAACTTAAACGAGCATCAGTGTTCACAGTAACCAACTGCTTTCATCATTCATTCAGCTAGTTTTAAAAAAATTCAAATTTCTTATTTGATAACTGATATCGAGGCTTCACATGCTAAACAGCAGTCACTCTGCTGGCAGCGTCTGCCCGCTAATGCATCTAAAACCCACAGATACATCCGTACGTCTGTGGTCTGCCTGAGGTGATTTTCAGTAACAGTAACTTATTGATGGTTTTCACTACGTGTGATGGTACACAGCAGTCCTAAAAATAAAAACAGCATTGATTTGAAATTTTCATAAACCCACGTTTTATTCACAGTAGCACACAGAAAACAAAAACTTTAAATTGAGATATTTTATTATTTCATGAAAAAAAAATAGCTCATTTTGAAATTGATGGCAACAAAAGAACATTTTGTAACTAATTAGGCTAATTGGCAACAGGTCTTTAACATGGCATAAAAAAGAGAATCAGAGAGGTTCACAAATCTGTAAAAACTCTGTCTTCAAATTCTTTGTGGAACAATTTCAGAATAATGTTCCTCGATGGAAAATTGTGTCTATAGTACATAATATCATCAAGCGATTGTGTGAATCTGGAGAAATCTATGTGGAAGGACCAAATGTCCGGTGCCATCTAGAAACGCAAAGACGCTGCCACACGTGAACATGATCCGGAAACACTGAAGTCTTCTCCAGCTCACAGTTTACTTAATAAGGAATGTGGCAAAGTGAAAAATTCTTTGGCCATATGAAGAGAAACGGTTCTTAGTGCTTTTCTACTCTGAGCACTCACAACTCTTTATACAACTTGCCTCATTTACCCAAGCACTCTTTTCTTTTTAAGTGTTTTCTATCAAACATTCAGACACATTAACACTCCGATGGATAGATCAGAGAGCAACTTGGGCTAAGACAGGGATCGAACACCAACCTTCCAATTAGCAGATAACCTGCACAACCTTCTGAGCTACAGCCACACCACATAGTCAACACATCCTCCGGACTAAAGAGGAAATCGGTCAGCTGACTTGTTATCAGCACTCAGTTCAAAAGCCCGGATCTTCGATTGTAGGGCGGTGCATTAGCATCTGTGGAACGCAGCAAACATGTCCTGCTGCCATAAAAGTCAAAATGGGCTAACATTGCCTCATTTTAAATGTGGTAAAGCGTGCCATGTAAATAAAATATGGCTTTATGACAATTTTACGCACCATTCCAAGTTTTGGAATTTCACAAATTTCTCATTTATAGTTTGACATTTCTGTCAGCACCAGTTGACTTTTTGGAGTTGAGCACGCAATTTTTTTTTGTCAATGTCAGGTTTGAGGATCTCACCAGTAAACTTCCTAAAAATGCCCCAGAGTTCAGCGATGTCCGTAGCGAAGGTGATGTCTGTGTCCAGGACGATGACCTTCGACAGGTCGGAGGGCAAAGCTTTGGTTAGCGTCAGCTTCATCAAGCCGTAAATACCTGAGTAGTGTTTGTTGGGTATCCACGACACTTCGGACTGAAACGAGAAAAAAAAATGCAACAGTAACTCTTAAAGCTGTTACAGCTCTGAGCTGTTCATTATGTATGAGCGCAGTTCCAGTATGTGGGCTAACACAAAGCCATATAAGGACATTCTGGCAAAGCCTCAATTTGTTGTTTTTTTTTTCCTGTATCTGCTAAGAGACTCTTTTAATTAATTCTCCTGATTCTGAGTAATTGTATCTGCATAAGTGAATCATCTGCAAACATAATCGGCTTAGAGTCTTGGCTGTTTTTCCCTGTTTTAGTGTGAGTTAATGGAAGCTGAAGAGAGAGGCTGCAGGTCGAGGCTTCTGACAGCACAAAGGACTCATTGTTTAGCACTAAGACTGTGAGGGAGAGGAGAATGTGATGATGTGACGGGGGTGATGTAGGTTGGAAACACAAACAAATTCAGGCTTGTTCCCTCCATCCCCGCCACTCCAACAGAACAGTTATGATGTTAAAATAAATTGTTTGGCGTCTTTGTGCTCAAGCGTCACTTGAGTTTTCGAACTTAACAAGCAGTTGTTTCTGTCGGGTCAAAGCTCCTGTGGTGATTGTTGTCTTTAAACTTCGAGGAGCTGGATGAGCGGTCAGAATCACCGAGCAGAAGTCTTAATTCAGTGACACTTAATTGGATGTTTTGACTATTTTTGTTCCCAGTCTAGATGGTCCCACACTGCTTGGACACCGATCCATGACTGACGGAGTTCCACGTTAGACGCTCACTGTTGGACGCCTTTACTGTCATCTGATATTTGGGGTTTTCTCTGTATTACTCTGGGGTTATCTTAAAATGTAACATGCCTTTGGGCAACTGTTGCTGTGGGGCAGTGGGTCAGTCAGTTTATGTATCAATCCTGCAATTCATCCCAGGACTGAAGGGGGCAGCATACACCAATATAATTACATATACTCTTGTTCTACTCTATATCTGAAGGAGGCGGACGTCAACAAGCACTGGAAACACCACACATGCCAACGCAAAAAAGTACACGTGAAAGATCAAACATGTGAAAAACGCACTTTACCATTTCGAGACAGCAAATGTTTGCTAACATTATATAACTATATGAATGTGTTATATCAGGGCACCACTTTAAATACAATGATAATTCAACAATAACCTTACCTAGATCAAATGAGTGCATTTAACTTTATTTATACTTGGTTTCCTCACATACATCAACTGATCTGGCCTAAATATGGAACACTTGTACACCGCTGTCTGCAAGCACTTGTGAGACTCGTAATCTCTAATATCAAGCAGCAAAATTTCTGCCACAACTTCACCTACTTCCAAGGTGCATGGAGAGGATGAGAAACTAACAACGCATGAACTCCAGCAACACTTAAAAGTAAAGAGGAACAACTTTCTTAACTGACCAACGTGTGTCGGCTTGTGGCTTTCATCAGGGTCATAGAAACAGATAACACAATTTGTGCTTAAATAAAGGAAACAGGAAAAAAAATCAAATTGACCAATCACATCTTCATAGGTAAGCCAGCTGACAGCAGTTAATTGGTTACGTCACAGCCCAAGTAAATAGTGGACTAGACCATTAACGTAAAGGGGAGGGGGGGGCGCGCATAATCCCCACCTATCTTAACATGATACATCTGAGAAATACATAAAAAGTGTTTGTGTGACCGTGGTCAGTGAATTAACAGGTCAAGAATAATACAAGGAGAGCAATGACTCTGTCAGTATTCATGTTCAGGCTTGATGCTCCGGTGTTATTAAAACCAGTGTTCCTGTAGCTGTGTGGTGTATGTGGCACAAGAAATCAACAAAGACTAAGATCTCTGACTACAGAGATGACATTTTCTGAATCTGTGCATCATAACATGTATAAAACTTTGAATGTATAAAGTTTAACTTTAAATTGAATAAACCTAAGAGCTGCATGTTCAAAATAAACAACGTAGCATAACTTTAGTTATTACTTAACGTTTTTGGGTCGTAAGTCTGCATAACTTTTTAAAGTAGAGTCAAATTTTACAGTGTGTTGCATTGTGCCTTACAAGAAGGCTGGAAACCCCCTCAGCACCAACATGAGTACAATCGAAGCTAAATGGGAGCTTGACCCTTTATCTCATCCTAAAGTAAGATCAGAGAGCTTTAACAATGTTCTGATCTCTGCTAAAGTGACAAATGATCTGACAAGCACATAGACACTAGCTGTGACCTCCTCTGTCAGACTCTAAGAGATGCATACTGTACCGTGCAGCTCTTATTCTGTCTCCCACTCTTTGATGCTCTGCAACTATTCTGGTAAAGATTTGGAAATATATTCAACGGTACCCTCACAACTTGCTGTTGCTTTGAACTGTGCAGGTTTTCTTTTGATGTGATAAATTTAGGGTCTGACTTTGACTCACCTTGTCTAACAGACAACAGGAAACAGGGCTGTGTTGATGTATTTGGATGAGGTTTGTGTACTTTCAAGGCGTGCTCTTACCTTGAGTTCATCTGCATCGTAGAAGCTGACTTGCACAGATGGAACCATCCAGGACTGGAACAGAGAGCTCAGGATTCGATTTGCTACTGTGTCAGTGATAAAATGAAAGTGGAGAGGATTTCTCCTGAAAAATAAAAAAACAGGCATCAAGGTCAAGGATGTCCTTCCAGTAGGAGGAAAAAAATGTCAACACGTTCCACGGCAATGCAATACTGTAATCAGATTACATTTTTCAGTATGACAGTGATGTAACGTGCTACGGTGAAATGGGCATCTCTTTTATTTGTAGTGCACAAAAGCGCATCAGTACAACGGTAAAGGGCAAACTGCATCTGGGACAGAAACAACTGCGTTTTACTGCTAACACAAAGGTAACGCGCTAACACAAAGGTAACCTGCTAACACAAAGCTAACAGGCTAACACAAAGCTAACCTGCTAAAACAATGCTAACAAGTTAACACAAAGCTAACGTGCTAACACAAAGCTAACACGCTAACACAAAGCTAACACGCTAACACAAAGCTAACCTGTTAAAATAAAGCTAACATGCTAACACAAAGCTAACACGCTAACGCAAAGCTAGTGCACTAACACAAAGGGAAGCGCTCGGAGTAACATTAGAGCTAAGTGTATGCCAACCCCAAACCACACCTGTACATGTGTCTGTAGCAGAACCTCTTTGGCTATCACTTTGAAGTTTCTTTGGACTGGTGTTAAACTTTGCTTTTTGTTGTGGGTTTATTCTATTATGTAACGCCAACAAAATGATCAAATGTGTGTCCTTGTTAGGATAGGATTTTGTGTCTGTGTGGGACTGTAGCCCGAGGTTTATATAAGTATAATGAGTACTTAAGCAGGATACTGCATAAATTTAAAAAGAAGTAACAAGTAATCTGTAGTACATTTCTTCTCTTGAATAATAACCCCACACAGGGTCGCTGATAAAGCTGAATACATATCTTACTAGTAGTTATTCATGTTAGCTAAGGTTAGCCCTCAAAAAGCATCACCATCATTAGCCTTCTAAATTAGCAGCCCTCTGCCCATGGAGCTGCTATCTTCATCAACAAGCTCTACAGTTTGCCAGCTTTGAATAAAAGCTTGAAGCAAGAATGCCTTTATGGGTCTTTATCTCGCTTTTGATTATCCAATTTCCCCACAAACATTTCTTTTTGTCCCTTATCACTTTTATTTAATATCCTTTTCTTTTTATTTGCCTTTAGCATGTTTGAAGAAGGCTTCACAAATACTTTAGCTTCTTCTTTCTCCTGTACAATCTCGTGTTAACTCTAAAGTCACGTATATCTGAGAATATCTAGGTAAAAGTGGGTTTGTATGTAAATCTATAACAAAAAGAAGAATTTTGTGACCCCCTTTGGAATGACCAAGATTTTTGTATGAATTACTCAAACAAATATTCTTCCGAGTCACAATTATAAACAAACACAGTGTGACTAATAAATAAAATAAATAAACCTATTATGTATTGACTAATGACTAATCATTCACATTGCTGGTTCTTTAATGATTGCACATTGTGCTCTCGGTATGCTCTTCACAGACTGCCCATTTCTAAAGAGAGCAGAAAAAGTCATGAATTTCGACCATTTGTAAACACTTCGTCTTTTTGAACACAATTCTCTAAAAATGCGTTTGTAGGATTTTGTAGATTCCTATATCTTACTAACACTTTTTCCAACTTCCTGTAAACATTGTAGTCACCGAGAATGGTAAAGAGTAGATTTGAAATGAAATTAGCTTGTCAGATTTACTTTAATGTTTCTTAAAGGCTGGGGTAAGTTATGATTAACTTTACAGCTAAGTGACATTAGTTAGCATGATGAGATTATGTCAGTTTGAAAGTGGATTGCGTCCTCCTTGCAACTATGAAAAAATGGTGGCTGCAGGTTGTTGCATTGCATTTTTCCGTATTTGGTGACCTGCAAGTAGTTGCAGTGACCAGCTAGTACAGATGTGAGCAACCTTCAACATCAAATGAGCCATTTTAGACCCTCCTACCAAACAATGGGGGGGAAAAGAGCAGCACACAGATGTGCTGGCGGACAGATGACAGATATAAGAGAATAAATCAGTGTTTTTATTACAAGCCCATAGCCAGATACGGCTCTTCAGCCAAAGGTTGCTGACCTCTGACCTAGCGGGAAGCAACTCGTCTGAGCAATTGGAGACAGAACATGTAATTCAATTTCTAGCTTGTTTAGCTGATGTGACCAAAGCAAATGAAGGCTAAATGTTTGGTTGACAGAAATAATATTTTGATCAGCTGAGATAATTTAAGTATTGTACATCCCCTTTTGCTCATTTTTTAGCATCTGGTTGCATCCATTCAATTAAACCAATGTAATATACTTTTAGATCCTTTCAGTAATAACCTTAATAAGTCAGTTAAAATGTGACTCTTATGTGATCTAAACTATAACATTTTCACTTAGTCTGTTTCCTGTTTAAGCTGAATGAATCTAACTGGGAAATGGGACCACCTCAGCAGAGACTTTAGCCTGCAGCAGCTACCAACCAATCAAACTGCTTGATTTAATTTCTACAGTGTAAAGGTCCATTGGCTCATTTTGTTTCAGTCTCTTCAATTTTTTAAATAACTCTTTTTAGGGTGACCTTCAAAGAATACATTTTTGTTTACAGAAAACCTAAACTAGAGGACTGACACAAATTTAGACTCACCTGTGAAAGAGGACTGACTTGACCAGTGTGACCACATCTCTGCTGGCGTTATGACCGGCACAAACGCACGCTACATGGATCAGCTAAAGGAAAAAAGAAGAAGAAGAAGAAGCTCTGAGTTTTGGCAAAAGGCAGCCTGTAGCATGAATACTTCCCATTATGGGCGCTAACAGCTTCCATCACAAGCTCACAGCAGACTAGATGTGACTGCAGTTATAGATCTGCCCTATGTGCTAAGTCACACACAGTGTCATCAGTCTTCTCCTAAAGTACTGAAGCTATATTGCTCTGTTGGTGCGTGTCACTCGCCCCCGTCTCTGATGTAAACTTTCATACTGAGATTCTCAAACATATATGATTTCACAACACTCGCTTTTCAGCAGAAGAGACTTTGAAAAGTTGGAGCTCAAAGGCTCATCAAATCACATCAAAGGACAAAAGTGTTCCCCTGGATTTCAGACCCTGCCAACCCACCTCTGCCTCACTCATTAATTAGTTTGAATGGACCACTGTGATTCGCTGAGCTTCTTGTTCAAGAAATTCTCTCCTGTTTGGGATTAGCCATCAGTGCAGCTGTTAGTGTGACACACTAATGTGTGATCCCATCAGAAGTAGTACTTGTTAAAAAAATAAAGAGAGATTCGTCACCGAAGTGAACTATGTGTAATGAGGTAGTTGCACCCCCCGGCCTCCGGGTGGCGCATAGCTCAGTGAGACAAAATAGCAAGGTCATAGGTCCTCCTCTCCAATATGGCAGAAGCGAGGCAAAGAGAAACTTCACCAGTCGTCTCTGTCTCATAGCTGAATAAGCTCCCTGTTGTGTCCTGATATTGTGAATATGAATCTGCTGTTGGCAGTGAAGAACGACTGTTTACTGGTTCTGAAAAGTGATTTTGAGAATGTTAAAGCTAAAGCTAAGCCTGCCAGCATACACATGACTCTTTCATGTATTTGTGAGCTACTAAGCTGAATTGGTTTAAGACCAAGCACTGGTATGTTGGTTAAAACAATCAGAATACATAGGTATTTGGGTTAAAAGTTAGAGGTAAAAATGTATTTGAACATGCATTTTATATTGTTTTGAATTGTCATTCAGAGAGAATAGCTGAGTAGATGCTTTAACCCTTTAAGACCTACCATAGAACCAAGTCCGCCAGAGCTTATATTATATTTTTACATGCTGTGGAGCCATTTTTGGGAGCATTTCAAGTTG